GGCCAGGATATGGTGTTTCTTTTTTTATTTTTTTTTTTGGGGGGGGGGGTCAGAAGAGGAAGAGACAGGGTTCCAGAATTCCTTTGAGAGTACACCCCCAGTGACCTAAAATGCCCCACTAGGTAGGGCCTACCTCTAAAAGTTTCCTCCACCTCCTAACTGATCAAGCAGGGACCAAATCTTTAAAATGTGGGCCTCTGAGAAAAAGGCCAGATTCAAATTACAGCAACACTATCAATAATTAGGTAAATGCAACCAAAACAATAATGAGATACCACCTCACATCCACTAACGTTGTATAATACAAAATATGGACAATAATAGATGTTCGCATAAAAATGGAAAAATTGAATAATTTACATATTGTTCGTGGAACTATAAAATGGTATAACTGCTTTGGAAAATAGTACAGCAATTCATGAAAAGCTAAATATAGTTTCCATAAAACCTAGCAACTCTATTCCTGAGTATATGACCAAGGGAAATAAAAACATATATCTACATAAAAATTTGTAGACGAATGTTCATAACAGTCAAAATCAGAAACAACTCACATATTCATCAATTAGTAGATAAATTATAAAAAGTGGTGTATTAATACAATGAAACATTTAGCCATAAAAAGTATGAATATTAATATATGCTAAAACACAGATGAACCTTGAACGTACTCTGTGTTATGGTTTGGATCTAAAATTTCTCCCCAAAGGCTCAGGTGTTGAAGGCTTGGTCCCCTGTGCAACAATGTTCAAAGGTGAGACTTTAGGGAAGTAACTGTATGATGAGGGCATTCATTTCATCAATATATGCTTACATTGATGAATCTGTAGTTAAATGGACTATTAGGAAGTGGTACCCAGTTGAAAGAAGTAGGTCATTGGGGACATGCCTTTAAAGGGTAAATCTTATCCCTAGCCCCTAATCCCCCAATACCACCCACCTCGGCCATCCAGAGTTGAGTAGCTTTGCTACCAATGTTCTACCTTACCACAAGCCCATTGTGATGCAACCAAGCAACTATGGACTAAAACCTCTGAAACTGTGAGCCGAAATAAATCTTTCCTCCTTTAAGCTGTTTTTCTTTGATATTTTTCACAGTGATACAACCAATACTAAGTGGAAAAAGTCAAGCATAAAAATCCCACATACCCTTTCACAGGAAATGACAAAAACAAGCAAATCCATACAGACAAAAAGTAGATGAGTGGTTGCTAGGGCTTGTGGGGCAAGAAGTAATGGAAAATGCATACTAATGGCCTGCTAATGTTTCTTTTGGGAGGTGATGAACATGTACTGGAAATAGGTGGAGCCTATTTTTGAACAATTCTGTAAATATATGAAAAAAAAACTGAATTATGTATACATTAACATTTTGTATCTTGTATATGAACCATATCTCAAAAAAAGTTATTGAAAAAATGGATATAGGACCAGCTTAAAGGGACTTTTCTAAACAAATTCAGGGTAATTTAAGCATTAAAATAAAAATATACAAGTCCACAGTAATACTTTTAGAAAGTATTTTTAACACAAGAATGACAACCAATAAATGGGACAGAAGAACAAAASATCAATTTTATAATCTGTAACATAATAGATCCAGAAAATATAAATGTTGCTAATTTTCTTTGAATTTGACAATGGTACGTGTCTTGTATTTTTAAGAAATACATGTTATTTACAGCTATTTTCAAATGATTCAACATCAACCACAACAAAAACAAATGTATGCATACCTATATGTATAACTATAAATCTATCCTGAGGCAGAGAAAGATAAGAAAATTTGGAAAATGTTAGTAATTATTGAATCTACACAGAAATGTAAGAAAATGTAATTTAATATTCTTAATTTTTTCTCCATATTCAGAAATTTTCACGTGAAAAAGCAGGAATAAAAAGGAAGGAATTCTGGCCACTATTTTCAAATAGAAATGGTTAAAAAAAAAAAAAAAAAGAAGGGAGCTTGTGTTGTAGCTCAGTGTAGAGTGCTTGCCTAGCACATGTAAGGCACCGGGTTTGATTCTCAACACCATATATAAATAAATAAAGGCCCATCAAAAACTAATAAAATAAAAAAGAAGATGAAGGTGAAAATAACAATTAAAATAGGGGGAAAAGTTGCCAACAGGGTCAACAGGTAAAGTACAGTGCTGCTTATTACTGCACACCCCACCTAAAGCATATGATTAGAGGTCTTAATACATACATACAAATATTTAACCATATTTTGCACCACTCTAATTGGAATATTGATAACATGAAAGACTATGCATGTGTAGGAACAGAGTATATAGGAAATCTCTGTACCTTCCACTCAATTTTATTGGGAACTTACACTGCTGGTTTTTTTTAATAAGTCTTTAGGGTAAAAAATTTATTATATTAGTTTCTATAGGAATCCATGCACGGTTTAGCTAAGTGCTTCAAAGATGATCTTTCACAAGTCTGCAATCAAGGTGTAGGTCAATGCCATATTCATCTCAAGTATCTGCTTCTGTGCTCACTCTATGATTGTCAATAGGATTCAGTTCCTCACAAACTGTCAGACACTAGGCCTCTGTTTGTTTGTTTGTTTTTGCTGGCTTTTAGCAGGTGGCTGACCTCAGTTCTTTGTCAGGTGCTCCTCATCATTACAATAAACATATAAGGACAGTTAAAGAAAGCATACCAGCAAGGTAGCAGACATAGTCTTAAAAATCTACATACACAAATGAGAACCCATCACTTTTGTCACATTCTGTTTAGTAAAATCAAGTCATTAGGTCTAGCCCCCATTCAGGGGAAGAGGATTATAAAAGGAAGCAGGGGTCAATGTGAGTCATGTCAGGAACTGCTAACTACAATAAAGGTACATTTGGTTTTCATTTTTTGCAGTGGTTATATTTTATAAAGGCTCACACACACACACACACACACACACACACACACAAATACTGAACAACTACTTTCGGAAAAAAATAAAGAATCCTATGAACTCCTAGTCACAATATGTTATATGTTTTACATATAAGATTCCTCCAAAAGCTCATGTATGAGACAATGCAAGAAAGTTTAGAGGAGAAATGACTGGGTTATGAAAGCCTTGACCTAATCGGTGCATTAATCCACTAATATGAATTAACTGGGCAATACCTATAGGCAGGTGGGGTATGACTAGAAAGAAGAGAACACTGGGGTTATGCCTTTGGGGTTTATATTTTGGCCCTGGTGAGCAGAGTTCTCTCTTTTTACTTCCAGATTGCCATATCAGGAGCTGCTTTCTACCTCCACACCCTTCTGCTACAAAGTTCTGCCTCACCTCAGGCCCACAGCAATGGAGTTGACCGTCTATGGACTGGAAAGTCTGAAACGTAAGCCAAATAAACTTTACCTCCTCTAAAATGATTCTTGACAAGTCTTTTAGTCACACCAGTAAAAACTCTAACTAAAACACAGAATTTCATCAACTCATCAATATACAGCCTTCGTTTATATTTTTTAAAGTTACCTTATTTAATATATAGTATACTGTTGAGTCATTAACATTTATGTTACAGTCAACAGCACTGGAACTCCTGCCTGAATGAAGCTTAACTAAAACTCATATATTTTCCTGAAGGAACATCACAGGCTTCTTGTGTGTAGAGATGCTAGAAAGCACTTCAGAATCATGCTTCTGGGCCATTTTAAACCTCAAAATCATCAACAAAAAGCGCAAAAATGAAAAAAAAATTTAAAAGTGGCACTACATTTACTGTGAAAAGGCATTTGTTTATAGCATGAGAACTGAAAGAAGAAGGCAGAGCATGGCCTTATTTGACCTCAGCTAGGAATGTGTACCTAGGGCAAATCAAAATTTTTGTTACCCTGCACATGTCTCTGAATGACCATGAAGACATCACAAGTATTGGTTTGAGGTTACAAATACATTTTTGCAATTAACAGAAAAAATACAGAATCTAGGAGTAATAAGGTCAATTATATTTTACTTATTGCTAAACACCTTTAAAAGAATATACTTGAAGCCAGGTGCAGTGGTGCATACCTGTAATCCCAGCGTCTCAGGAGGCTGAGACAGAAGGATAGCAAGTTCAAAGCCAGCCTCAGCAACAGTGAGGTGCTAAGCAACTCAGTGAGACCCTGTCTCTAAATAAAATACAAAATACGGCTGGGGATGTGACTCAGTAGCTGAGTACCCTTGAGTTCAATCCCTGGTATCCCCCAAAAAAGCATACACKTGAGAAAAATAAAGCAGAATATCCTCTGCTCAAGAATAAACAACACTTTTTTTTCTGGGTATGAAAGATAGAGGAATACTATCTTTGTTCTGTTTTTCAACTACACAAAAGAGCACAGGAACTGTACATTTCATAGGAAAGAAAACAGCAAAACTTTGAGTAAAAAAATCATAGGGCTGGATTTGTAGCTCAGTGGTAGAATGCTTTCCTAGCACATGTGAGGCACTGGGTTTGATCCTTAGCACCATGTAAAAGTAAATAAACAAAGGTATTGTGTTCATCCACAACTAAAAAAAAAAAAAAATCACAGAATGTAAGTTCAAATATATAAAAAATAAAAATTAGCAACAAAGCATTCTTTCTGGTAAAAGTAATATGAAATTAGGAAAGATATTTGTAATAGTTTCTAAAAAGATTTAAAGACAGTTCTCTCCTAGAAAAATCCTAGGCTATCAGGCACTGAACTGATAGCCTATGCTCTTAATTCAGTATAGCTTCCCAAAGAATCAAGTGACTATGCTTCTCTCCATTTGATGATCCTCTTTTTTTTTTTTTTTAGCAGTTGATTGAAATAATTTCATATTATGGCTAGTAGAGAATGTACATTTTAAAAAGAAACAATTTGAAAAGTAATTTTTTTAGTTGTAATTATAGATATACAAAAATTTATTTGTTTGTTTTTATGCTAAAGATTGAACCCACCGTCTCACACAAGGTAGGCAGTGCTCTGCCATTAAGTTATAGCCCCACCCCAAGAAGTACTTTTATTTATTTTTTTTTTGGTGGTTCTGGGGATTGAACCCAGGACGTTGTGCACATGAGGCAAACGCTCTACCAACTGAGCTATATCCCCAGCCCATCCAAGAAGTACTTTTAACAATATTTTTGCAATTGTCAGTACATTCTCAGCCAACTACGATTTAATATTATTTTAACAACCTCTGCTATTTAAATTATGGCTAGCTTCATTTTGTTTCTGAATGTATTTGAAATGTTTTCATGTCAGAGGACCATAGTATATTTCCATCTGAAACCATTAAATATTTATTAAATGGATAATTAGTTTTTCTATATGAAAATGTATAGGGGCTGGGGATGTGGCTCAAGCGGTAGCATGCTCGCCTGGCATGCGTGCGGACCGGGTTTGATCCTCAGCGCCACATACAAAACAAAGATGTTGTGTCCACTGAAAACTAAAAAATAAATAAATAAATATTTTAAAAAAAGAAAAGAAAATGTATAGAAAATGTTCAGTAGGCAGAGAGCATATTTACAAAAAAAAATGGGCACAGTGAAGTCATTAAAAGAGGAACACACATAGAATTGGAAATCCTTAAAGACAAGAAAAATTGCAGTTGTTGAAATAAAGACATGGAAATTATTTCTTGATCTACATCTAATTTTCAGAAGACACTTATTTTAAAATACTATTCAATTTCACCATACATGCTTGGGACTTAAATTTTGCAGATGAATAGCTTCCACTGAGTTTGTTAGCAAAAGCCAGGTTGGTCAACATGTTTTACGTTGTCCGTAAAATAATATAAATTTTTAAAAACACAAACACAAAAAAAGAATTACTTTTTGAGAGCAGAGAGCAAGACACATAGGTGGTACAGGATGCAATTGGCATTCAATAACGCACAGTAAGCAAAATTGCAGAATGAAAATTATCAGATCAACATCACATAATGTGCAAATATATAATCTTGTTACTACTACATTAAAGAATTCATATTTTCCTAAGGATACTTTTTTATTTATGTTGTTCTGTTTCTTCTATATCAATATTTTTAATAAGCATACAACAACACCTTGGGCTGGGGTTGTAGCTCAAGCGGTAGAGCGCTTGCCTAGCACATGTGAGGCACTGGGTTCGGTCCTCAGCACCACATAAAAATAAAATATATTGTGTCCATCTAAAACAAAACAAAAAATATTTTAAAAACACCTTGTTTTGCTTCTTGAAGTAATAAATGAGGACTTTAAGCCATCCTTATTTCTCATTTTCTGTTTATTCAATCACTTCAATGCTGTCACAGAAGCAATAAAAACGAAATAAGTGGGTTGAGGATATAACCATAGAGTGCCCGCCTTGCATGAACAAGGCCCTGGGTTCAAATGTCGGTGCCACAAAAACAAATAATAACAACAAAATGTAATATTGAAAAAATACTTTAAATGCACAATAGCTCTTAACCCACCAGTGGTCCTATACCAATATCATCTTTTTTGAAAGAAGTCCTTCTTTTCCAGCTTGTATAAGATTAAGACATTTCTTGCCAGATACTGGAAATTAAAATTTCTAATCTTAACAGCACAGAATAAATTAGAATGTAATTTCTTTTTTTTTTCTTTGTGTCTTTTTTTTATTGGTTGTTCACAACATTACAAAGCTCTTGACATATCATATTTCATACATTAGATTGAAGTGGGTTATGAACTCCCAATTTTACCCCAAATGCAGATTGCAGAATCACGTCGGTTACACATCCACAATTTTACATAATGCCCAATTAGTAATTGTTGTATTCTGCTACCTTTCCTATTAGTAATTGTTGTATTCTGCTACCTTTCCTATCCCCTACTATCCCCCCTCCCCTCCCCTCCCATCTTCTCTCTCTACCCCATCTACTGTAATTCATTTCTCTCCTTGTTTATTTTCAGAATGTAATTTCTTAAACCTAGTTTTAGATGCAACTTGGATCTGTTTCTCATCAATTGGAACTGACCATCAAAATAATTAATAACTAAATAAAAGAAAATGAAAATATTCTACATTTATATCCTGACTTTCACCAAAAACTACTCCATAGAATGAATTAGATTTATTTCATTTTTAAAAAATACACAAAACTACTGGTTTTATAGGTAGAAACATTAACTATATCAATTCTAGAAATCTTATCACAAAATTGTTCTAATAAGTTTTTAAAGTCTGCAATAATTATACATTTCTTAAAAACTCTGGGAATTCATAAGCATAAAAATTTCTTAATGGGAGCTGCAGTTGTGGCTCAGTGGTAGAGCACTTGCCTAGCATGTATGAAGCACTGGGTTTGATTCTCAGCACTATATATAAATAAATGAATAAAATAAAGGTCTATCAACAACTAAAATAAAAACATTTTTAAAAATTTCTTAATGGTATAAGAAAATAAAAGAATATTATAGATATGAATATCTTTACTTAAAGACTGACATTCTTTTTAAATACAGTAGGTACTACAAAGACTCATGATTGGAAGATACCTCAAAATATATTTAGTTCAGCTCTGCAGAGTCTACTTCTGGTTTTAGGTAGAACATGGACCTGTATTAGTGAAAGTTTTTCTTTCTCTTGTCTTATTATTGAGAAGAAAAATCTCAACCTGGTAGAAGTTCATTATTGTCAAACATTTGCTATCCTTTCTTTTTAACACAGAGAAAGTTTCAAGCTTCAGATATTTAAGCAAGCAATATCTAGCTAGTTAATATAGTTTTGTTTTCATCACTTTTATTCTTAAATAAATTTTAAAGTTGCTATCTACTTATGATGCTGGCTTTCCACTTAAAGTAATGATGGGAAGTTTCCTTTTAAAATACATACAAATTTTAATAAGATAATTTGAAGAAAATATTAAATAATAAAATAACATGTTATGTGAATATAGAAAATATTTTATAATACTTAATCATGTATAGATTATGGTGAACATCATGCAGGGTCCTTGAATTTTTCAAAAAATTCTCCCCAGCCAAACGAAACAAACATAAATGGGTCCCTTGTTTGTGTATGGAATATAATAGTTAATAACAAATACTCTGGATCCAGAACATCTGGGTTTGAATCCTGATCTGTGACTTATAAAATGCAATTTTAAGTAAATTAGGTTTACATATCTGCCTCAGTGGAGTTAATATAAAATAAGAATATGTAGTAATCATTTCACAATGTTTCTATAACGGTTAAATTAAAAAATTTAATTCATATAGAACACTAAAAGAACAGTATCTGGGACATACTGGGTACTCAAAATATTATTAATGAGGTAAGAGTTCACTTGTTAACTTCTTAACTTGTTCATCTAGAGAAGATTTTATATTAAATCTTCCCTTTAAAGGTTTACTTTAAAGAGACTACTCAGTCTGTTTAATAACTCTATAATCCTGCATAATCTACAATCTGAGTAGTAAATTAAAGTTTCACTACTAGATTTATCTTATCTGTAATAACATTCTTTAAGAATCTTAAGTTTAATGCAAGTATTTTATGAATAAAGACCCAGTAAATGCTTATCTACCAMCAGCATCTTAAGACCAGGGAAACAGGACTAAGAACAGGATGAGTTGATGGGAGGGAAAGCAAGACAGTGACTGAAAAAGTTAATAGATTCAAACCAGGGCACTGGGCACAGCAGAGAGTTTTCTAAGGAAAAAGGGGTGGGGCGGTCAGAGAATAAGATCTCAAGGGAAGTAAAGAACCTAATCTTCCTTAACTATATAATTTTGTCTAAAGGTAGGTCTACTTATTACTGTATTAAGTTCAGAACTACTGGCTTCTATTTTTTTTTAACATTCCCATATAATGGAAGCAGACATATTTAATACCTATTTCCCTTAAGAGAGACAAACAACTTTGAAACATAGACTCACCAGAAAAAGAGAAAATCTTTGAAAAATTATAATTGAGTTACAAAAACACAAGATAGGAGATTTACAGATAGGACTGATTATAATGTGAGACCCTAGTTCAGCACAATTACAGATATTCATTTATGGTCATATGGTTGATCTGTCATATTTCCCCAAAAAACTCCTGTTGTATCATTCTCAAGGATCACTGCTATTATATGCTTCAGTTTCTATTACTAAGTACCTTATTGTCTTCAGTGTCAACTGAAGTTGAAAGAAGAAAGGCCTTTTCTCAAGAGAAATCTAACCTATAATGCTCAGTGAGTCATATATTCTTTTACTGTTACTTGGTCTGACCACTCAACATATAGGTTATAGAGGTAAGAAGGCTGCTAAGTCTGGTTGTGACTGTGTAAGTGAATACTTGATAAGAAAGATGTCATTCCAACAAAAAGCAATGAATGGATTGAACTCAGGAAGTAAACTGTTCAGCTGAAAACAATAGGGAAATGATTGGGATTTAACAGAGAACATTAAATGCCCTTTGCTATTCCCTAGAATATAACCTCATTATGTGGCCATTAAACTTATAACCCTTTTCCTTACCAGTAATAAAACAAGCTATAACAAGTAGGCTTGTTTGGAAATGAGATCACATAATAGCAACTACTTAGGAAAAGTTTCCTATATTTCGCTTTAACTTTAAAAGTTGAAAACTGATGATTCCTTTTTGAGGTGGGGATAAGGGGAACTAAATATGAATCAAAATGAAGGAGTTAATAATTAGGTTTTTTTTGTTTTTATCTGCACTTGCTATTCCATAAACTATTTTGCTGCATTTGCCCTTTTAGTTGAAGACAACAACCAGCTTGCCTCCCTCCCTTTTCCCCTCCCTTTCTCCTTCCCCTACCTTTCCTTTWAAAAAAAAAAAAAAMCMAMMAAAAAAAAACCCTTTATTTATTTATTTATTTTTATGTGGTGCTGAGGACTGAACCCAGGGCCTCGCACGTGCCAGGCGACTGCTCCACCACAGCCCTCCTTTTTTTAAAATATATTTTTCATTGTAGATGGACACAAACCTTTATTTTATTTATTTATTTATTTATTTATTTATTTATTTATTTATTTATTTATTTATTTATTTAATGTGGTGATGAGGATGGAACCCAGAGCTTCACATGTGCCAGGCAAGTGCTCTACCACTGAGCTACAACCCTAGCTCTCTCTTTTCTTCTTGTA